AGGTTTGGATGGCGAATCAATCGATATATCGCAAAGCACGCCACGCCTCTGATATTTTCCTTTAAAACATATTTTTTTTTCATCAATTAAAATGAGAATAGTCCATACAGAGTGTGCAAACATTTCAAAATCATGAGTTGAAAAACGCTGACTCCGCCAGATTAAATATTAGAGCCTAACACAAAGCGGAGCGGCGGCGACGCACTGGCGCCTACAAACCTAATAGGGATATTTCACGCATTGCGCAATGCGTGAGGTATCCCTGTTAGGTTTGTAGGCGCCAATGCGCGTTTTGCGCTCTCTGCCCGCCCGCCGCGCCGCAGCGTGCCACGGCGTCTGAAGCAACTATTTCACACCAGAGGTATTGCCCAGTATCACAGGAAATTGAAGGTTCTCCAACATATTAAGAATGACGGGCATCCTTCAAAAGTACGAAGCTTTCCTCGCAAAATAAATCAAGATACTACGGCACAAAAAGAGAGCGGTAGTCCAAAAACTAACTAAGTCCTATAGTATCCGTATTTAGTAACGTTTAGCATAAACTTTATCGTCTGGCTGTTGCTTAATCGCCATCGGCTATAAAAGGCTATAAGAAATTGTACAGCCGGCTACAGAAGCTATTGGAAATCTTACAGCCGGCTTTAGGTCTATAGTATTTTGGAACACACATTCTACTGCCAATTTTTACCAGGGAAGGCACGAAAAGTACAATTTTAAAACATGTTATTGGCACGTTCCACTAATGGGATTGATTAAAACCTACTTATCCTTTTCTTTCTCTTGTTTTTGTTGTACTCTGTTTAACAACTAACCCTCAAAAAAGCCTTTCCCTACGATACAATTTCACAGTTGAAAAAGCTTCCAGTGAATGAAGGGAGTAAGTGAGATTACTGAAAAATCAAAATACCTGTAGCGGTGATTTTGAACAAATCTCATCTCAAAATACCATTTTAAATAATTTTTTTTTGCTGCAAGACCCCACGTAACTTTTCAACATTAAAATCGTCTTTCTAAAAATCACAAAAATGTTACTTATACTTACCTCCTTCATTCGCTGGAGCTTCAACCTACCCTTTGGTACACCCAATATTCATTCATAAAATGTGAAGTGTAAGTACGTATCTGTCAGTGCTTTATAGAAAGCACAAATAAAGAATGTTTTGAGGAATGCGACTTCAAGTATTTTTACATGCGCGTACACCGCTCTTTGAGACCTCAAAAATCAAACTTAAAAAAATAAATTTTTCGCTGAAAACTACGGAAAACGGCCTTCTGCCCCGAACCCCCCGCCTTCCTGGGGGGTATTCCATACCCCCCAGACCCCCCGGCGTGGGGGGCGCCAAAATCTGGGTTTGCACCCCCCTACGTGAAACGTAGATCCGGCCCTGTTGTTTGTTATTACATGTTGACCAATTATCTTTGGGTCTCAATAATCGGCAAGTGGACCAAAACTCTCCTGCCGAAAAAACGCGTGGACTTAAACTACTGTAAAAAACAAGTGCTCGGACAAAAAAATCGTTGACGAAATGTCCTATAACCTTCTGTGCATGGATAGTGATATTACTCTCCGTTGCGTTCAAAATTTTCTTTAATTGCCAGATAGGCTAATATCCCTTGTAGGTCTCATTATTTCGAATTTTCTCTTATCCTCAGTCTTAAAGCAATGAATGTAACTGCGACCTCGTCCAGTGGCGTGGCGTGATTTGCGATGTATCGATGATCTGCCATTTAAACCTATGGAAAAGGATCGATAAACAGGGTGTTCGCAGCGAACACCTTAATGATAGATTATTTACATTAGTTTCCAATGGGGGAATATCGATATATCGCAAAATACGCCATGCCACTGACCTTGTCGTCATTTATTTTGAGCCGCTCCATGAAACGAGAAAATGAATTCATCTTATCCCTAGGTGCCCAAGACTTTTTTGACCCGTATTTAAATACATTAATTTTGATGGTTTTTGAAGTATTATCTAATTTATCACAAAAGGGCTAAAACAAGGCTGTTGTTTGTCACCAACACTATTTAAGGTATACCTAGAGCACGTGTTAAAGGAATGGAAAAATAAGGTTGCGGGGATGGGCGTTCCACTCCTTGATGGGCAGACCCTTTATACTCTATGCTTTGCCGATGACCAGATCGTTGTAGCTCAAGATGAGGAAGATGCAGATTACATGACGCGGAAGTTGGTCGAAGAATATCGAAAATGGGGCATGGACGTTAGTGTGTCCAAGACAGAGAAGCTGGTCGTGGGAGCAGCGCATCAACGGCAAAGCATAGAGCTTGAGGACGGACGGCGCATCGAAGAGTGTGACGAGTATAAGTATCTCGGTGTTTGGCTCGATCAGGATGGAAGGATGGATAGAGCAATTAAGGACAGGATCATCCAGGGCAGGAGAGCCATCGCGATGCTGAACGGGGTGCTCTGGGATCAGAGCATCTCAAAGGCAAACAAGCACCGGATATATGATGCCATCGTTAAAAGTATCGTGCTCTATGGTAGTGAAGTGTGGCCTTTGACGAAAAGAACGCAAGAAATGTTGAGGGCAACTGAAATGGATTTTTGGCGGCGATCTGCCGGCATTTCGAGACGGGACCGTGTCCGTAATGAGAGAATTCGCCAGGTGATGAAGGTTGAGAAAGATATCGTGCACGACGTCATGTCCAGGCAGTTATGCTGGTATGGACATGTGCAAAGAATGTCGGAGGAGAGGTTGCCCAAACAAGTTTTGGATTGGGTACCACCTGGGAAGAGGCGACGGGGACGTCCCGTAAAGGGTTGGCGGCAGGGCGTTGACGAAGAGATGTTGCGGTGTCAGTTGCCCGATAACCTCTGGGAAGACAGGCACATGTGGCGTCTGGGTGTCGTAGAACGCCAGAGTGCGTTATAAAGCGACTTTAATATATATATATATCTAATTTATTTTTATGTTTTAAGGGTAGGAAATACTTTATTATTAAATTTAAACCCTCTCGGTAATTTGTACCTAATTCCTCCAGAAGACATATGTTACAAGAAAAGGGGAAATGGAGGTAAGAGATATGGAGGGAACCTGGGCTCTCTGAGGGTAGCATTAAAATAAAATTCCCTGATAATACGACACAACTTTCGTCAAAATATCAATTTTTGGATGCGCGCCTTCAAGCACCACTACAAATAAGACAAACAAAACCAACACAGCATGGGAAATAATGCAAGAGATAAAGAGATAAGGCGCGCGTTGATGGCGGCGCAGAGATACAACTATACGTGCTTGATGGATGTCTGTGTTGCGTTTGAAAAATTGAAGGCGCTATGGCGCGAGGCGTGATCTCGCAATGCTCCGATCTATGCTGCCAGTGTGCCGTTCAGATTCTGAACACAGTAATTTTAGAGGACGAGACTCGATTACGTCTATCCTATCTTCGGCTTTGTTGACACACGGTTTTTTCTCTTTTTTTTTTTAAATTTGACGTCCTATTCTTTTTTTGGATATATTCGTAAACTTACATCTAAAACTATAGTATGTGCTATGGCGCTATAGTATATGACTATAGTATATAGTATAGTATATGGCGCTAAAGTATATAACTATAGTATATAGTATAGTATATGGCGCTATAGTATATAACTATAATATATGGCGCCATACAACTCGCGGGAGCCGTGGTCAGCCGTGGATCAATTTGGATCAATCAGCATCTAAGGGTTAAAAGTATCTTTTACTTTTTCCAATTCTGTACCTACTGATTTCCTGACATGTTTTAGCCGAAGACCTCAACCGAATGAAAAATTCTGACGATCAGATTCATACACGCGTGGTTTCATGAAAGAGAGTAAACATTTTTTAATCCCTCCAGTTCGCTTTTATTCAACTCAATGTATGCCGGGCTGTTTTATACTTGTGTTCTGTTTTGACTTTTTATGTGCTTGATTAAACAGGGATATTGTTGACTTTCCGTTGAATTAATCTGAATAATATTAATGGTCGCTATCCCTCTCTCTGCATTCGATATTTATGACTTGCTAGATCGCGGCTTCGTCCTGTTGATATGTATACTAATTAATGAATTATTAATAAAATCCAATGCCCTCTGGGCAGTGGTGTGTTCGTCGATCGAACGCCGTTATTCATCCGTACATTTTTCCCGGAACAGCATGCTGTTTCCCATCATCCTGCTTCAAGTCTTGACTAGAATCGCATTCCGGGGTTTTCCACGTGTTTGCAAGCCAAAATGAGCAAAGGACACCCACATTATACCCATAGTATACCAGTCGTAGATTCAAGATTTACTTATTTCTCTCTTTTTTTCTCCCTTTTATATTTTTTTTCTATTTTAATTTTCCTTACTAGGTATGTTTTATTTTTTCCTCTTTACTCCTTTCTTTAAAAATGACAGCGTCTCTTTAATTTTTAAGAAGGTAAAATAGAATGATTTTTTTAAAAAATATATTTATTTAAATGACAATACACGGTCATGTTTATCTCCTAATTTAATAAAAAAAAAATGAAAATGGTTGCCAGTTGACAGAAAAAAATCAATGGAATTTTGAAAGACTAGCGTTTCCAGTCCCAGCTAATACGGAGAGTAAAGATGTAGCAATTATTATTTGGATTGCATTTTGTGAAATAAAATAGAACTTGCCGCTGTTGCTAGGATTGTGCAACTTACATTCTTTGTTATAAAATTTCTGAAATTATGCAATAATTAAATGAACAAAGTTAATTCTCGTATTGAATTTTTATTTAATTGGGAGTAAAGATAAAACTTGTTTTAGATGATCGTTCATGTTTGCAAGGTAAAAATAGTTCCACAATCTTAGCGACATTGGAATGCTCTTGGTTCCTTTTTGCAAAATGCAATCTATATGGTCTAGAAGTATGTATTTTTCTTCTCTTTTCATCGGCTTATGGCGCGTAAGACGACATGTAACATGGAAATATTTCCGAAATAAGACAATTGATGAGCGAGGGCAAGAAATAATCGTGCAAAATTAATTCAATAGAAATCTTACCTCCCAAATCATTCGGAAATCATGAAAAGGAATCCTAAGGAGCTCACACGTCGTTTTCGTGACAACGGCCGAGTCTCTTGATAAGTCTTTCAATATCTCCTCGCCGAAAGTTGCGCCCGCTCTGAGTGAACATAGCGTCACTGGGGTCTGGAACAAAACAGGATGGTGAAATTAAACAAAAAGCATACGTAAATAATAAACCCTAGGACGAGTAATCATGTATTAATATCATGGCTTTCCAGAAATATCTATCACACAATGATGCGATGGAGAAAAGGCGCAGTCGTTACTGAGCACGACGGGGTTGCATTTATTCCTGAGAATAAAATCTTGAAATTCCTCTTGAAACATTTCATAAAACTTCGGGATAATACGAAAGATATTGAAGAAAATTCAAAATGAAATGCTAAATTACACGGAAGGCAAATGTTTTTTGCTTTTTGGCGATTTAAAGCTTGTTGCATACCTAGCCCCTGAAAATATGGTTCATGTGTTCCACAACTTTGTGAAATTTTAAGTGATATTTAAAAACAGCGCATGTGCCGTTCGTTTTCTGTGTGCAAAGTGTTTCTTTATGGATAAGCTAGAAAAAGTAGTTACTCACTGTAAAATTTAGCCCGTTCATTGATCTGTACTCACCTGAATTTTTTATGAACGTAGAAGGTGCAATACCAACAGATCTTTATTCAAGGGGCTTGGAAAACAAGGCGCATAAGTGCAGATTTTGAAACAAATGATATATTTTTCATTTTAAATGAAAATAGTCTTAATGCGTATTCTGTGAAAAATTCGTTTCCAAATTTCAATTTTAAAGCATCAAAAAATCAGTCTGAACTCTCTCTCCACCATAAGGATCCATACAATTTCAAAACTTCAAACCCTTATTCCTCGAAATAGCAACAACTGCGCTTGTGCGCCTTGTCCTCCAAGCCTTTCATTCAAAAACATGGCCCGATCAAAGAAACTCGAGTTTAATGAGCCTCGCACCGAGTAAAAAATATCGGATATTCGAACGGAACGGGACACCAATCCGCCCCCCCCCTCCCCGCGCGCGCGGTCCCTCGTTCTCATGTTCCGCGTCTCCACGCGATAAGTAAAAATAACCGCCGCAGAGCGAAAATTTAAAATAAACGAGAATATTAAAAGCAAATAACGGCGCTCAGAAAACAAAGACCCGAGCGTTTGCAAGAGGGAGTTGGAAGGGGGGGGGGGTTGGCACGACCGCAGCTCTGTCGCCGAGGAAGAATTTGTTGCGCGGAGAAACCTATCCCTAACGGGATTCGAGCTCAACAAGTAGTCGTACGTTCACTACCCCTCCATGACTCTGTTGAGCGAGAACCGCGCAACTCTAATTAAAATCTCGGGCAGTTGTGTGGCGTGCTTTGCGATGTATCGATTTATCTGTCATTTAAACCTATGTAAAAGGATCGATTAACAGGGTGTTCGCAGCGAACGCCTTAATAATCGATTCTTTACCATAGCTACAAATGAGGAAATATCGATAATCGATCATTCACGCCACGCCAAATGGTATGGTGCTGTCATCCGATACGCGACCGCGCCGTCTGGCAGTGTTGTGAGGCCTGAGGAGGGATCAAACATTTTAAAGGGTCCGAGAAATGCTGCGGGTGGGGTTGAAGTTTCACCCAGAAACACAACATTTTCTCGCTGGGAGCGGCTTTTATGTTCGCCTTGACGATTTCACGTTGAGCTCCTCTGATGAAATATTTTGGATAGGCAAAATTTAGAAGGTCACTGAAAGAATAGCTGATTCCGGTACTATGAAATTCCCTGAGTGAAATGAGTACGGCAGTAAACAACTGACTCTAAATGGTAGCCAATATCAGAACTCTTGTAGTATTCAAAGATTTGAAGAAAAATTCAATCCGCTGGAAATATTTTTCAATCGTAAATAACACTGAAAAATAATAATGTTGACTTTAATAAAAATTCTAAAGAACAAAAAGTATTAGGTAAGCTCTCTGACCCTTTAAATTTTTATTTTTGTCTCACTTCGTTCCACTGTTTCATAAGGCCAATTTTCATATTTTTTTTTTTTTCATTTTCATTTGAAAATGTTGTTGAACGATCGAGAAACCGACACTATGTCAGACCTCGCTCCCCTATTTTGACCAAAGTAAACGGCTGAAACAATTTTACAACGTCACTGATTCATTATTAATAAAATCGACGCACATCGATCACTGAGTCAGTGAGCCATTTTATTGATATACGTGTTCGCCTTATGGTGACTAAAGAGGAACTTGATGAGTGTCAAGCGTTTTCTGTGTCTGGTGACAGCTGATGAACACTGCCGTACTAAGGAAGAATACCGTATGAACATTCGAGAGTTGCCAAATTTCCCTTGATAAAACATGTATTTTTTACAACAATCAGGCATATTTTTTCTTAGAATTTTCAGATATTTTAGATTAAATTGCGTACAAACCTGTCCGGAAATTTTTGGGAAAAAATATTTACAATTTTTCTCGTAAATTCGGTTTTTATCGGAGGAAACTTGGCAACGCTCGAAGGGTTCATACTGCGTTTTTGCTTAGCACGGTAGAATAGTGCAGCATCGGATCAATGAAGTGTGATACTTACCAATTAAATAGATAATTTCATTAAAGGAAAGTGAGGGGGGGGAGGAGGAAGGTTTCAATAATTTATCTGACTCTGACAGGTTGATCACCGAACCTTTCAGTGGCGTGGCGTGAATTGCGATGTTTCGATTGCTATGCGCTATGCCATTTATACCTATGGAAAAGGATCGATAAACAGGGTGCTCGCAGGGAACACCTTAATAATCGATTCTTTACCATAGGTTTAAATGGTATAACAATCGATATATCGCAATTAGCACGCCACGTCACTGGAACCTTTACCAACTGACCGAGATCAACGATGTTCTATCTCGGAAGTTCATCATCCGATCAAGGTCGTTCCAAATCCTGTCGATTCAGGTTCAGGAATCAGCCGACTCGACTTCGTAGTTTGTCAAAAGGACTTATTCATGTGTAATGATTTTATCCACCGTTGTAGGCTTAATTGGCTTAGAGTATCAAATAACTTTCGGGGAAAATCGCGCGTCGTTTCCCAGAAGCCGAACTGGACGCCATTCTACAAAAGAGGGGATATATCCCTGCAAAAAGGGTTTGGAAATAAGAATCCTATATATTAAAACAAAAAGCTCCGAATCTTTGGACGTTAACTTTGAGAGAACCACCGGACCGATTTGCCTGATCTTTTTTTTAATGAAAGCCCCTGAGCTGTAGATTTGCAGGCTGTAATTTGTTTTTCGATTTTCACAAATTTTCTCTTATAATTTTCTCAAATTTTCTCCAATGTATCCTATGTATTGAAACACAAAGTTCCGAATCTTTGCACGTTAACTTTGAGAGAACCACCGGACCGAAATTCCTGATCTTTTATTCTTAAATGAAAGTCCCCAAGCTATAGATTTGCAAGCTGTAATTGTTTTTTCGATTTTCTCAAATTTTCTAACTTTTATCAACGAGTGAAGTTCAACTGTTTCGAGCGGTCGTCCGGTCGCTGGCTGCTTGAACGTCGCTAAGTACCCCCCCCCCCTCTACGCTCTCAGCCGTCCCACCCGCCACGTTGCTTCGGCTATCATCATTATTAAATAGATTCAACTAATTGCTCCGATTCCAAATAAGCTACTGCACCACCATTGCTAGCTGTGAAGGGCGCCCGGAGCAGCTAGTCCTCTACTTAATCGCTTCAGGAGATAGACGTTGTTTTCATACTTCCCTTTGCGGAAAAAGTTCCTCTGCTTGGTAACATCTGATTGTATTAACAGGTTAAGATCTACAACAGGCGCATCGACTACCCCTGTCCTAAGAAGATCGACTGCGTTGGAACTAAAAACGTAAAAAAAATGAAAAAAAAAAAAAACACATAATAGCGCAGTGCAAAGATTAAGTATAAAGTGCAGTGATTCCGGAGAAAAATCCGAGTTTTAATTACTTCAACGTCTAAAACTTTGCTTTTGTAATTTATGTTAAAGCGAACTTTAAACGATACTTTTAAAAGATCAAACGTCATTTTTATGTAAATTGTTAGAATTAAGTGTTCACCTGAATCCTCATGAAGCTCCTCTCTGACGTGCGTCATACGTAGGTATATGTAAATTTACAGAGAGCTCAGCATTAAACTCCAAGAGAGAATATTTTTGACCTTTCTCTCTTCTTTCCACTCATCTGGGAAGTTCGCTCAAAAGCTATTTGCTCTTCTTCAATGATAAAAGCACCGCGGGAATGATCAAATTCTTTGAAAAATACAAACATTTTTTTGGAAAAAACCAACTCACTTGCATAATTTTTTTTTTTTTTTTTTTTTTTTTTTTTTTTAAATTACGCAAGTGAGTTGGTTTTCTTCAAAAAATGTGTTGTATTATTAAAGCATTCGAGACTTGTGTAGCCCCCTAACGGTATTCATAGTAACCATCTAATTGTTTAATATAATTAAAAGTAATATTATTCGAAGTTCGATGAAGGTATGATAGAGACTAAACGAAATTAAGAATTCTTTGCATGAGAAGGCACAGAGGGGCAGTGGGGCACCTTATTGAGAAGGACTTGGGGAGCATAGAAAAACAACCCACTAAGGATGAACGAGGGCACCATCGTAGGTCGGCGCGGGGCCACCCTGGACAATTTTGAAAATTGAAACGTCTCAGGAGGAATTGTGAGCTGCTCTTGCCGAATTCACTGTAATAATATTTCAAAGATGACAGAAAATTAACGTAACTCAGTTGTTCCTTAAAATCCCTTGCAGTTCCTGGGGGCCACGTAGAGCTTCGGGGAAGCCGTCCTATCTCCCCTCCGGAACCTCCTAGTTCCGCTTGCAGATACACATCGTAGCGAAGCTTATTAAACTGTATTGATTTCATATTCCCAGAGTCCGTAAATGTGAGGTGGAAGGGTTGTTTAGTCTTGCGTCTAGGTCTAATATGACGTTAATTCATCAATAATCTGAGTTTGATTTAAACGAAGGGAGTTCAGAATGACACGCAAGACTCAATCATGCTGCAATTTAATTGATCACTGATTTACAGTAAAAAATGACCTCTGTGTGGCAAGAAAAAAAGTATATTATTAAGTAAAAGTAAATATTAAGATGATCAG